TCCATTACTGCGGGTTCTCTCTTGGAGAGATATCCTCAAGACCTTGTTAATATCCCCTTTATTAATACCTATCTTCCACTTATACACTTCGATCAGGTCTCCCCTCATTCTTCGTCTAACAAGTGAATGTAACTTAAGAGTCTTCAATCTTTCTTCATAAGGAAGATTTCTAATGCTATGTATTAATTTAGTCATCCTACGCTGAATGTTTTCTAACGAATTTATGTGTTTGGTAATGGAGTTGGTAGGGAGGACTGTGCATCTCTTCTCGGCAGCGTCTTCTCTGGGTGTGTTGAAGCCTTTAATGAAGTGACGCAGGCAGATCTGACGATCCAAGGACTGCTTGTGTTCAACACCGAAATTTACACAACCATTTAATCAACTACAGAAACGCAAGACTTATCGCCAGAGAAGACAACACTCAATACCAAAGAATCCTGGAACCATCACTTATCTGTACATCCAACAACTTCAACCAGAACAACGGCTTCTATAACATAGCTTAATCTCTTGCCAAGAAACTTCTTCATCGTTATTCCATATAAGAACATAAGAATCGAGGAACACTGCAGAAGGTCTACTCATATACTTATCCAATCTCTTTTTAAAGCTATCCAAATTTTAGACTGTCACTACTCGGAAGATTGTCACATGCAGCTTTCTCCACCTGACCCAGCATTCTCATCCTTTGAATACTCACGTATATTTCATCCAGGTAGATCTGTTTGTGACTTGGTAAAGCACATTGCGTGGGCGAAACGTTGTCAATAAAGGATCACATTATGCTGCATATGTGCCTTCCTCTGGCTTACCGATCCACCCCTTTAAAAATTATGGTCATAGTTATAACCATTTAGTGAGATCTACAGATGCATGAGTACTGGCAGACGATTGACTGTATATATCCACACACTTGCCTCAAGAACTGAAATCAGCAGGCTCCATTTTTCCATCAGCTAACTGAATAAACACTGATATAATTCTCAGGATGCAGACTATTTGAAAAAAAAAAACCCGGAAAATAACCATCACTAATTGCTACAATATATAGACATATGAAAAGAACTGACGCTCCTAAGAGTGGTGACATAAACATGAGACTTATAATTAAATTTGACCCATTAATAACACTAAGTTAACATACTATGGCTTGAATACGAGTATACTGTTGACATTTGTCAGCTGAGTTAGTGAGTACGCAGTGAACCCTAAGGTCGTTAGGTAAGACACTTATGCAACAGTTAGGTATCTTTATTTCGAAACGTTTCGCCTACACAGTAGGCTTCTTCAGTCGAGTACTCGACTGAAGAAGCCTACTGTGTAGGCGAAACGTTTCGAAATAAAGATACCTAACTGTTGCATATGTGTCTTACCTAACAACCTGTCGGTATTTTATACCATTTTAATGTTAACCCCAAGGTCGCTAACTTTTGTTTGTAAACAGATCTAGTGGGAAGACCTACCCTCTCCCAGCGCAGGGTTACCATGTGTCTAGGGTTCTCCAGCAGGCTGTGGTGGGTACTTGGGCAACACGGCTGGGTGTGGTAATGTCCGAAGACCTCACCTTCAAGAATCACAACAATGCCACTATCACATCTGCGAGGAAACTGATAGGAAGGACAATGGGAACGTTCAAGACAAGAGATGCTAAGCCAATGATGATCCTTTTTAAATCACCTGATCTCTCTAGGCTGGAATACTGCTGTACATTAACATCCTCAATCAAGACAGATGAAATTGCAGACCTACAGAATGTACAGAGAACCTTTACTGCACGTGTAAGTTCCATCAGACACCTTAACTACTGGGAGCGCCTGGAAGCATTTCACTTGTACTCAATAGAGCGCAGGTGAGAGATGTCATAATCTACACCTGGAAGATTCTGGAGGGACTGGTCCTTAATATGCACACAGCAATCGCCCCATACGAAAGCAAAAGACTTGGTAGGCGATGCAACATACCTTCAGTGAAAAGTAGGGGCGCCACTGGTACACTAAGAGATAACACAATAAGTGTCCGGGGCCCAGGACTGTTCAACAGCCTCCCACCAGCCATAACGGGCATTACCAATAGATCCCTGGTTGTCTTCAAGAGGGAGCTGGACAGATACCTAAAGTCGGTGCCGGATCAGCCAGGCTGTGGTTCGTACGTTGGACTACATGCGACCAGCAGTAACAGCCTCGTTGATCAGGCACTGATCCATTGGGAGGCCTGGTCGTGGACCGGGTCGAGGGGGCCTTGACCCCCGGAATGCCTTCCAGGTAGACTCCTCCAGGTATGCTTGTAGTCGCACTGGCAGGGGTTGCCATATATGGCAAAATATGGACACTTAGAGTGTGTCTAGGCTTGTGCAAGAGTCTGATGCATTAGACAGAGATTAACTGAAGATCCTGGTTGAATAAGACAGGATCATAATAACAAGTCATTACGGACTCATATGTCAATGAATGCAATATTATAATTAATATCTCATGAAGAGAGGAGAGAATAAACGAGGGTAAACACTGATCAACTCTGCGTAGCGGGGATGTAATGGTTTCTTCACCACACAGGAGAGGCTCTATAAGCTGGTGCAAAATTTAACCACATATTTAATTTCAATCCTTCCATTCTGATAACTTGATAATGCAACTTCTGAGCAACTACAAACTTAATGTACATTTAGTCTCATTGGTCGTTATGCAAGATGTGAATTATATTTGAGCTTTGTATATTCTAAGTTATCAGTTGTATGAGGAAATCTGAGTATTAGTTTTTATAAGATGACTTCTGAATGACTCTTCAGATTCTCTTCAAATATTCAACTCTAATATATAATTACCGTATCGGTGAGTACAAACAGGAAGCTTATCTGTCTCGCCATCAAGAGACGGAGGATGCAGCATCCACCACGTCTTGCGCTGAATGACCCACATGGGTTTAGCACTTAACACATAATTGTATTATCAACTTTTGCTACACATTACACAATTCCAGTACCCTTCAGGGGACTGGATTATGAAATATGTTGATATCTTTTTTGGACAGCAAAGCGACCCAAATATATAACGTTCATTATAATGCCCTCTGGAAAAAGCTATATTTTGTCGTTATCAGCGACGTGTACTCAGAAGAAGGAAGGTAAACACGACTTATCAGAGTTCTTTCATCAGATTTAAGATATTTGAGATAAATATTATGTATCTGTGAATTTACACCTGGTGTAAAGGGAATTACACCTGGTATAAAAGGAATTTACACCTAGTATAAAAGGAATTTACACCTAGTATAAAAGGAATTTACACCTAGTATAAAAGGAATTTACACCTGGTATAAAAGGAATTTACACCTAGTATAAAAGGAATTTACACCTGGTATAAAAGGAATTTAAACCTGGTATAAAAGGAATTTACACCTGGTATAAAAGGAATTTACACCTAGTATAAAAGGAATTTACACCTGGTATAAAAGGAATTTAAACCTGATATAAAAGGAATTTACACCTGGTATAAAAGGAATTTACACCTGGTATAAAAGGAATTTACACCTAGTATAAAAGGAATTTACACCTAGTATAAAAGGAATTTACACCTGGTATAAAAGGAATTTACACCTAGTATAAAAGGAATTTACACCTGGTATAAAAGGAATTTACACCTGGTATAAAAGGAATTTACACTGGTATAAAAGGAATTTACACCTGGTATAAAAGGAATTTACACCTAGTATAAAAGGAATTTACACCTAGTATAAAAGGAATTTATACCTGGTATAAAAGGAATTTACACCTGGTATAAAAGGAATTTACACCTGGTATAAAAGGAATTTACACCTGGTATAAAAGGAATTTACACCTGGTATAAAAGGAATTTACACCTGGTATAAAAGGAATTTACACCTAGTATAAAAGGAATTTACACCTAGTATAAAAGGAATTTACACCTGGTATAAAAGGAATTTACACCTAGTATAAAAGGAATTTACACCTGGTATAAAAGGAATTTACACCTGGTATAAAAGGAATTTACACCTGGTATAAAAGGAATTTACACCTGGTATAAAAGGAATTTACACCTAGTATAAAAGGAATTTACACCTAGTATAAAAGGAATTTACACCTGGTATAAAAGGAATTTACACCTGGTATAAAAGGAATTTACACCTGGTATAAAAGGAATTTACACCTGGTATAAAAGGAATTTACACCTGGTATAAAAGGAATTTACACCTGGTATAAAAGGAATTTACACCTAGTATAAAAGGAATTTACACCTAGTATAAAAGGAATTTACACCTGGTATAAAAGGAATTTACACCTAGTATAAAAGGAATTTACACCTAGTATAAAAGGAATTTACACCTGGTATAAAAGGAATTTACACCTGGTATAAAAGGAATTTACACCTAGTATAAAAGGAATTTACACCTAGTATAAAAGGAATTTACACCTAGTATAAAAGGAATTTACACCTGGTATAAAAGGAAATTACACCTGGTATAAAAGGAATTCAGACATCTGACACATGCTAGACAGGCTCGTTTGATACTTGACAATTTACACTGAGATACGAAAACATTGGATCTGCAACATCATCGTCCGTCCACTAAGATGGAAACCTTCATTTTGTTAATATTATAGTAGCACAATTTTTCCAAGATACATGTAAGTAGGATTTGATTTAGTCTAATATGTTGTGAAAAATTTTCTGATCATTGATTTTGGATACCAATGCAGCGTTGACTCGTTTGTCTTTTGTTTGCGCAGTGTAGCCGATATATTCTCAGTTTAAGGGAAATGGAACTAACACTACGTGTACCCTTATTTTTTGTGTGTAACCTATTATTATTGACAGATATATGTAACTCCTTTGAAGCATATATAACCTTCAGCAAAACTATATATGAATATCAATACCATATATGTAACGTTTGTCTAAATTTATGTTACGTTTGTCTAAATTAATTGCATCTCTGTACAACACAGGAAGTGACTTACAAATGATTTGTTTACACAATATTATTCATTTCTTACGTTCTATATTGTAAGCAGAAGCCAATGCCAGACTGAAATTCATTTGCTGTTCAGTCCTGAAAATAGCGAGTCTGAAGCCTGGAATGCTTTCACAGTAGTCTTTTGCTTCGTTGAACATTAATGTGGTATTTGGTATGAAGTAATGGTAGTCATCCTCTGCCTGGACTGCATCCCTAATACCCAACAATGAATCTGTAAATAAAAACAACGTTATTCTATTTTGCAAGTAATTTTATTATATGTAATAAAGTTGGTAGAAATACCCACAAATACCCACACGTAAGTATTTGACTGGTGTTTTATGAACTTATTTGTATGGCTCCTGATCCATGCCCATCTGTGTATAGTCACTCTCACATCGCTACAACTCTCTCCATCATCCTCAACTCCCACACCCCTACAACAATACAAATTTGGGCAGGTGCACTGAAGGCTGTGAACACCTCTTCTGGCTGCACAGGGACCCGAAATTTATGCTCTGATCAGTTATATTTTCTGCACAAGAAGAAAACACTGAATCTTTTTTCCATTTTTACTTATCATGCATCAGTTGTTCTTAACAATTTTATCCAAATTTTGCAAAGGGTAAGCCAATAAAAATAGAATAAGAGAATAAACGACCCTTAAACTAACATTAAGTCTTGGAGGCGAATATATAACAAAATTGTGTAAAGTAAAAGGACACAAATGCAACTAATGGGACATTTTATTGTTGCAATGTTTCGCTCTCCAGGAGCATAACGGCTTGACAAAGCTCCTGGAGAGCGAAACGTTGCCACAATAAAATGTCACATTAGTTGCACTTGTGTCCTTTTACTTTACACAATTTTGTTATATATTCGCCTCCAAGACTTAATGTTAGTTTAAGGGTCGTTTATTCTCTTATTCTATTTTTATTGGCTTACCCTTTGCAAAATTTGGATAAAATTGTTAAGAACAACTGATGCATGATAAGTAAAAATGGAAAAAAGATTGTGTTTTCTTCTTGTGCAGAAAATATAACTGATCAGAGCATAAATTTCGGGTCCCTGTGCACCCAGAAGAGGTGTTCACAGCCTTCAGTGCACCTGCCCAAATTTGTATTGTTGTAGGGGTGTGGGAGTTGAGGATGATGGAGAGAGTTGTAGCGATGTGAGAGTGACTATACACAGATGGGCATGGATCAGGAGCCATACAAATAAGTTCATAAAACACCAGTCAAATACTTACGTGTATGGATTATTAGCCATGCACTAGTTGACGAATTACTAACCATATACAAGTATACTGATCACCTGCCACTTACATAAGTACCCGTATCACCCGCCATACACAAGTGCATTAAACATCACCTATACAAAGTGCATTGATCCCTATGCATTGACACGTGAACTGATTTTAATCTACACGCACAAGTAACTTGCCAACCACAATATATACAGAAGAAAGAATTGATAACCAAAGCAATCATATATCAATATGAGTAAAGAATCAATAACCTCTCAACACCTTTCCTACAAGTATAGAATAAATTCCCAGCAGATCCATAGCTGCCTATAAAAGGAAAATATCATTTAAGTAAGTTTATTCAGGTATACACATATACAGTTACATAGATTATCATACATAGCAGCATATGTGTAGAGAACCTAGGATAGCCCAAAAAAGTCAGATAGAGTGACTTATTTCCAGGTTGACTGGGAGTTACGTTGGAGTGCTCGCTGCAAGCATCAATAGTTAGATTATGCTATAAATCACGAGCCATGGTCTGTGACCTGGCCGAGGGAGCGATGAACCCAGGAATCTACAGCAGGTAAAGAAGAGATACGTACACAACGAACAGCCAGGAGCATCACTAGCAGGATGAGGATTGACAGCTCAACATCTTCACCATACTGGGGAGGTTGTGTTGCACTCTGTAAGACACAGCTCTAGTGAGATGAGTTATAATGTCTGACAGAGTGATTACTTTTTAATTCAGCGTTTTTGCTGGGGAACAAGAAGTATTTCAGTCGTTATGTGATCCAAGAAAGTTATTCCCCAGCATCGCATAACCAAACCCTTAAGAGGTAGAGAATTTTCAGTAGGGTTAATGTAGAAGATGCAGGAGATACACCTCAATTTCTTAAAAGTTTCAGGAGTTCGAGATATGTGTATACCTTGTTTAGTCCCAGGAGCATTAACTCAAAACACTCGAGAAGTCTAATAGATACTTCATGATGCACTTAAGAGGTTCAAGAGCTGCAGATCAGCACCTCTGACAGGAATAAGAATTGGATTTCAAACCAACCTAATACGAAATATTTATGCTGCACTTTACTTAGGATGTATGTACCTCAACACTCTCAAGAGTTCAAAAACATTTAGCTTAACACTCTATAGAAAGATCCATGAGCTGTAAAGCATCATCCCTAACAGGGCCAGGGTGTGGAATTCAACCTGTTATAACACGAAAAATTTTATGCACTGAGTTTTAGAATCCGTAAACACTGTATATCTTCATGGTTCGTAAACATTATGTATATCTTCATGGTTCGTAAACATTATGTATATCTTCATGGTTCGTAAACACTATGTATATCTTCATGGTTCGTAAACATTATGTATATCTTCATGGTTCGTAAACATTATGTATATCTTCATGGTTCGTAAACATTATGTATATCTTCATGGTTCGTAAACACTATGTATATCTTCATGGTTCGTAAACATTATGTATATCTTCATGGTTCGTAAACACTATGTATATCTTCATGGTTCGTAAACACTATGTATATCTTCATGGTTCGTAAACACTATGTATATCTTCATGGTTCGTAAACACTACGTATATGTATATGTATATCTTCATGGTTCGTCAAGTTTGAGAACCGGAAATGTGTCTGATAATAATCAAAGCTCGTATAAATAATAATAATAATAATAATAATAATAATAATAATAATAATAATAATAATAATAATAATAATAATAATAGGAAGAAGAATAAATTATGGAATAAAATACAATAAATTAATTGTATCCAGACTGCTTCAGTGTTCCTGGGACAGAGACCGGCTCGTCACAAGAAACATGCTCCTCAAGTCAGTATAATAAATCGTATATGATTACAATATATACACCCGCAAATATGAAGGCCTTCGCCGTTGCTATAACTTCATCCCAAGAGGGTCGGAGACCCTTCAGCATGGAGCAAGTGCGCTCTAAAGTTCCTCAAAGAGCTGGGTGAAAAACCAAGGATCACAGGGTGGCCAACTTCCTCTATCAGAGACTCAGTGTTGCCATCCAGAGGGAAAATGCCTGCAGCATTCTGGTCACACGGCTCACCGCCGGGGAGCTCGACAAAGTATTCGAGATGTAGCTCTGAGTTGTTATCTATGCTGTTCTACTTCCTATTGTATTTTTGTCAATGTATTCTGTCTTTAAATAAAGTCTACATAAAATATAGAGCATACGGGGTGGTAGGAGAAGACAATATTCAAACAGCTCCAGGGAGAACCTTGAGTTTTCTTTGAAGCAAGTATATTCTTTTCTCTGAGGATGAGGGTCCCCAGCAGAGTTCTAGAGGTGGTACCTCCCGATATAAATGACAACAAAAAGTAAGAAGGAGGTGAAAGTGTATAAACTAAGGGAGGAGGAAGATCAGGTATGATATAAGCAACTATTGGCAGAAAGGTGGGCTGGTGCAAGTATAAGCAGTGGAAGGGGGGGGGGGTTGAAGAGGGTTGGAATAGTTTTAAAAATGCAGTATTAGAATATGGGGCAGAAGTTTGTGGTTATAGGAGGGTGGGGGCAGAAGGAAAGAGGAGTGATTGGTGGAATGATGAAGTAAAGGGTGTGATAAAAGAGAAAAGGTTGCTTATGAGAGGCTTTTACAAAGCAGAAGTGTTATAAGAAGAGTAGAGTATATGGAGAGTAAAAGAAAGGTGAAGAGAGTGGTGAGAGAATACAAAAGGAGAGCAGATGATAGAGTGGGAGAGGCACTGTCAAGAAATTTTAACGAAAAAAAAAATTTGGAGCGAGTTAAATAAGTTAAGAAAACCTAGGGAACAAATGGATATGTCAGTTAAAAACAGAGTAGGGGAGTTAGTAGATGGGGAGATGGAGGTATTGGGTAGATGGCGAGAATATTCTGAGGAACTTTTAAATGTCGACGAAGAAAGGGAAGCGGTAATTTCATGCACTGGCCAGGGAGGTATACCATCTTGTAGGAGTGAAGAAGAGCAGAATGTGAGTGTGGTGGAGGTGCGTGAGGCATTACGTAGAATGAAAGGGGGTAAAGCAGCTGGAACCGACGGGATCGTGACAAAAATTTTAAAAGCAAGGGGCATATAGTGTTGGAGTGGTTGGTATTTTTGTTTAATGAATGTATGAAAGTGGGGAAGGTACCTAGGGATTGGCAGAGAGCATGTTTAGTCCCTTTATATAAAGGAAAGGGGGACAAAAGAGATTGTAAAAAATAATAGAAGAATAAGTTTACTGAGTATACCAGGAAAAGTGGACGGTTGGGTTATTATTGAAAGAATTAGAGGTAAGACAGAATATAGGATTGCGGATGAGCAAGGAGGTTTCAGAGTGGGTAGGGGATGTGTAGATCAAGTGTTTACATTGAAGCATATATGTGAACAGTATTTAGATAAAGGTAGGAAAGTTTTTATTGTATTTATGGATTTAGAAAAGGCATATGATAGAGTGGATAGGGGAGCAATGTTTCAGATGTTGAAAGTATATGGAATAGGTGGTAAGTTACTAAATGCTGTAAAGAGTTTTTATGAGGATAGTGAGGGTCAGGCTAGGGTGTGTAGAAGAGAGGGAGACTACTTCCCGGTAAAAATAGGTCTTAGACAGGGATGTGTAATGTCATCATGGTTGTTTAATATATTTATATGGGGAATCAAATACGAAATCTGAATTGACACAGTTACTTTTTGCTGATGATACTGTGCTTATGGGAGATTCTAAAGAAAAATTGCAAAGGTTAGTGGACGAGTTTGGGAGTGTGTGTAAAGGCAGAAAATTGAAAGTGAACATAGAAAAGAGAAAGGTGATGAGGGCATCAAGTGATTCAGATAAAGAAAAATTGGGTATCAAATTGGGAAAGAGGAGAATGGAAGAAGTGAATGTTCTCAGATATTTGGGAGTTGACGTGTCAGCGGATGGATTTATGAAGGATGAGGTTAATCATAGAATTGATGAAGGAAAAAAGGCGAGTG